TGAACCTTATACGTGGATGACACCTTTGAAGGATTATTTGACCAACGCGACTTTACCAAGAGATGAGGAAACTCAAATGGCCCTTAAAAGGAAAACTACACAATTTGTGTTAGTCGAAGGTGTCCTCTATAAGAGAGGACTATCTGTGCCACTATTATGATGCCTAATAGAGGAGGAAGCCCAACTTATTGTTCAAGAGGTTCATGAAGGAATATGGAAAAGTCATATAGGTGGCAGGTCTTTGGCATTCAAAGTGCTTCGAGCAGGCTATTATTGGCCAACATTACGAGATGATTATATGCAGTATGTTAAGAAATGTGTCAAATGCCAGCAACACACAAATCTTCATATAGAGCCACCCGAACCACTACACTCTATAACGACCTCCTGGCCTTTCTATAAATGGGGAATTGACATATTCAGACCCTTCCCGGTTGCAATCCGACAACTTAAGTTTTTAATTGTAGCCATAGAGTATTTTACCAAATGGATTGAAGCAGAACCAGTGACCACTATCACAACTGACAAGATATGCCATTTTTTGTGGCAACACGTTATTTGTAGATACGGGTTACCCCACACTTTAATCTTGGATAATGGGACACAGTTTGCCAATAGTAGGGTCAAAGCTTTCTGTAGAGACCTTAACATTCATCATATTTTTACCTCAGTAGAACATCCACAAACCAATGGTTAGGTTGAAGCAGCAAATAAAGTGATTCTTAACGGCCTTAAACGTAGACTTGGAGAGATTAAAACGTTTTGGGTAGAAGAATTACCTAGTGTTCTTTAGTCTTATCACACAACTCCGCAATCAACCACCAAGGAAACACCTTTTCGCTTGGTATACGGGACCGATGCAATAATTCCGATAGAGCTGATTTATCCATCTTCCAGGGTGCAAGGATTCAATGAAGATAAATCTATTCAACAAATACAAGCCAATTTGGACACAATCGAAGAAGTTCATGAACACGCCCGAATCCGGTCCTCTATGCTGAAACGTAGGTGTGAAAAACAACACATTCAGAAGGTTCGGGTTCGAGAGTTCATTGTAGGGGATTTGGTTATGAAGCACGCCCAGTCGAATCAGATTTACAATAAACTTTCCCCAACATGGGTCAGACCCTATCATATATCCGCTGTTATTGGTAAAGGTGCTTATCGATTAGAAACCACAGATGGTGGCTTGGTACCAAGGACATGGAATGTAACAAGCCTGCGATTCTATTACCATTAGTTAATGTTGGACCTTGAGTTGTACTCTTTTCCTTGAAAGTTTTTTTTATCGTACAGTCAGATATTTTTCTTTCAAGGTTTTTAATGAGGCAACGATATCAATAAAAAAAGTCCCTTTAGACATTCTTAAGTGTTGTTGTTTATGCGACTTATCCTCAGAATGTGAACTATGTGTGAAATGTGCACTAAGTACGAAATGCATATTATGGTCAAAATGTGACCTATGCTCGAAATGTGAGCTAATTGCGAAATGCGCACTATGTACATAATGCGTACTATGGTTAGAATGTGGCATAGGCTCGAAATGCGAGCTATGTGCGAAATGCGCACTATGTACGAAATGCGTACTATGACCAGAATGTGACCTATGCTCGGAATGCGAGTTATATACAAAATTGATGTCAACGTAAATTGTACCAAACGTGCCATTATTTTGTAATGAGATTTAAACTTGATCGGGGGCGATGTCTTAAAGAGGGAAGACGTATGGGTTAGTTTTGAGTGACGTTACTTAGCGAAAAGTAAAATCCTAATTCATCGAGAGTGACTAAGAATAAAAATATCAAATTAAAATGACTATTACGCGCATAAAACATAAATATTGTTCAAGTAGTGGCTACAAAATAATAGCAGTTCCGAATTACAAAATATGCACCTTCGAATAACAAAATATTTCGTGCCAAAGATTAGGTTAGGTGTTTGGTTCTTCATTCTCCTCATCTTCATCTTCTTCTTCAACAATCATTCCATCTACCACACTTTTTACAGGGTCATCTAGGGAGAAGTCAACATTAGGAGCGATGACTTTAGCTTGTTCCAAAGCGCTATCAGAACCTGACTTAAATATTTTAGCACATTCATCAGATAAGTCTTCAATGTGTCGGGCCTGACTTTCTATTTGAATGGTTAGATATTCTATTTTCTTGTTACGGTCACAAACTTTGTATTCTGCTTCTTCTAAAAGGACCTTATATTTTTTATCGTTAACCATAACATCATCTCGCTCTTTCTCTAACTGAGGGAATTGATCATGTAATTTGCTGAGTTCATCCTTTAGAATTTGCATTTGGATTTGAGTTCGACTAAGCTCTTCTTCTACTTTATTTTCTTTCTCTTCTTTATCCTGGACCCGTTGTTCTAGTATTACAAGCATTGCCATTGTCTTGTTTATAGCGGCTTGGCTTAAACAAGTCAGCTTCAATGAAGAAATATCACTTAAAGTTCCACGGTCAGCCTCTAGCAGATTATGAAGCTTGTTATGATGAGAATGATTGAAGGATACGTCCAAGAAAGATTTTCCTTTAGGGGCTGAGGACCCTATGAGCCAGCTGTCTCCTTGGTCATCAGTTGGAGGTTGAAGATGACTAGTGGCTTCGGTCATGACCCCTCCTAATTTAACAATTGGAATTGACAAAGTATCATCGTGTTTCCTCTTTATTGCCTTCTCATGCTTTGATCCTGAACTGCTTTCCTTCTTGTTCTCAGTTTCACTCTCTTTACCTTTTAAAGCTCGGATCCTTCAGTTAAGAGCCTTCTTGGACAAAGACATTTGTTTTTTTGCAGAGAAGTAATTATTATTACGGACTTTAATACATACTTTACAGGATCAAAGTAAAAGGGGGTGAAAATTATACCTATAAAGAGTTTTAAGTCTACAAATCTGCACTCTAATTTAAGAAGTTGAGCGGTATCGAAGATTGTTTGTAACTTGTCAAGTAATGTGCAATTTTTGACATCTTCGGGGGAGAGCTCGTCCAATTCGAGGGGTATTTGGCTACATGGTTGTTCAGTCCAATATAGGGGAAATCCCTCTAGCAGGGTTTTCTGAGTTTTGGGGGCACAAATTTTTATAAATCTGTCTTTAAAATATTTGTAAGATGATTAGAACAAAGATAGAAGTGATCGACCTCCTACACTACTAACGGATGCCCAAGAGGTCCGTTTAGAAAGACAAAATTCGAAGAAGTATAAAAACATATAGATATTCGGTTCAAAACCGAAATGTTTACATAGGATGGAAAATCCTCGGATAAAAGCCCAACTATTAGGGTGGAGTTAGGCCGGAGCCACATTGAGGGTGGTCATGACCGATTTGCTAAAATCATCAAAGGAAAAGCGGATTCCTAACTTCATAAAAAGAGTATCATACATAAAAAAGAAAGTATCCAGGTCCGATTCTTGGTTTCTATAGACAGGTTCATTAATCTCACAGGCTTCTACTAGAATATCACTTTCTTTGCCAAAACAGCTTAATCCTTGAATATTCCTAAATTGTCTAGTTTCTTGCTGCTAGTGTAAATGGTAAATTCATTTAGGATATCAGATTTGGCCCAAGGGTATAAGGATTTGTTATCCAAGCTGCTAGAGCTCGCACTAGGGAGATGGGAAGAAGAATGTGACATTAATATGATGGGCAGATAATAAAGCTTCACAAAATAGAAATAGAACAGTAGCACAACAATCACAACACAAAGGGATAGAGAGAAACAGAAGAAGCATGCGCACAGGAAACGAAGGCGAACGACAAACAAAGCAATATTACACAATACCAAATGAAAGACATAACAACAAAGAGAGAAATGGGAAACGATACTTAAAAAGTTTGAAATAAGTTCAGAAGACGAATGAAGCATAAATTGTTGAAGTTGTGCGGTGCGAAGAGACGAAGAGGAGAGGGAAATGAAACATTTTGGGAGGAAGTAAAACGCAATGAATAAAAGCGCAGAGTAAACCGCTTCAGCACGAACTTTAAAGCGTAAGATGTGACGTGTCAGGTGATATGACATTTGCTTTTTGAGAAGGTGAAGCGTTTGAGATTTCGGGACCGAATAGGTTACCATGTAGAAAAAGTTGAAATGTTCGGGGTTGATCAGGAAGGTATAGGTCACAAGATTTACAAAAATGTCCAATATTGGGTGCTTCAGGGAAGACATTGGGATGAAGTTAAGGTTAGTTATTTTTAAGGGATGAAATGTGTGAGACGTTTATTTCGGTTTTTAGTCTTTGCATTAGAATATCTTTCTAATTAAAGACTTGGGGACTGTGGTATGTGAATAAAGATTGAGCCCAGTGGAACCCAAATCTAGGTATTAGTAAAGTGGGCCAAATAAATCTATTGGAGGAAGATGAAGTTAACTATTACCTAATGGGCCCGAGGTATAGAGGGTGGTTGGAAATAAAGTATTATGGGGGTCGAAAAACGGAAACAAGAAAACAAAATAAGAAAAAATTGAGATTTGATGATAAAAAGGAGAACTAGGAAAACCTAAAAAAGAAAGCTTCCTTACTCCAAAACAAATACTAATATAAATTTTGTTTTATAAATACTGATATAAATTTTATTTTATGTAACAATATATATAATATTATTATAATATCTATCGAGTTACGCTTTATTCATACCAAATAAAAATTATCTAATATATAAAGATTTGACCCAATCTCTTAGCGAATAAAAGTTATCTAATATAAAGATTTGACCCGGACTCAAAATTCTAAACTCAAACTCCTATACTCAACGCCTTAAACTCAAATCTCTAAACCCATTTACTAGTGTCAAACAAAAATTTATGTAAAATAAATATTTGACCCGATAAACTCAAAATCCTAAACCCTATTTAATTAAACTAGTATAAATTTACCCAAATCCCCATTTCTTTCCTATTAGAATTAGTTTTGAAACCCTAGATAGGTGTGAGTCTCAGCGTTCATTTCTCTCCTGGTTTTTTCCCTCTGTGGTCTCTTGCATCCGTTGCTATTCCATGAACTCCACTTCAGACATGGACCTCCCTATTACCGACGATGATGGATCGGATCTTCATTGCATGGATGAGGAGGAGAAGACACAAGAGGAGGATGACTACATAGAAGACGCTGAGATAAACGAGACTGACTATAAGATCTCATCCGAGGAGCAGCAGCACTACACAGTTTTGACCGAATCTGACATCAAGCGACTTCAAGACGAGGACATCAACCAGGTTTCCTGCGTTCTCTTCGTACCAAGAACTGCTGCTTGCCTTTTGCTTGTCCACCATGAGTGGAGTGTGGTCAAAGTGCACGAAGCATGGTTCAACAATGAAGAAAAAGTTCGCAAAGTTGTAGGGTTAATGCAGCATGAAGCCCTGCAGGTAGGCTTTCCCAACTCAAAAACCCTCCAATGTGAGATATGCTTAAATGTGGTTTCTGGGGATAAGGTTAGATCAGCTGGTTGTGGCCATCTATATTGCATGGTTTGCTGGAAACTATACGTTGATGTAAGCATCGACGCCGGCCCTGAAAGGTGCTTGAAACTTAGATGCCCCCGACCCAATTGTGATATATCTGTGGGCGGAGACATGATCTTCGAATTGGCAAGTGGGTCAAGGAGGAACAGGTACGATTGTTTTCTGCTCCGATCTTACGTTGAAAACAACAAGAAGATGAAGTGGTGTCCTGCTCCAGCGTGTGAGTATGCTGTGATCTATGAACCGGACGGTGTTAGAACCAATTCAGATGTTACCTGTCTTTGCTGTCACTCCTTTTGTTGGAGTTGTGGAGAAGAAGCTCATAGCCCCTTGGATTGTGAAACCGCAAAACACTGGATCATGAAGAATGATTCCGAATCATCTGGGAACGCTGCTTGGATTCTCACCAACACCAAACCGTGTCCTTACTGCAAGAAACCCATTGAGAAAGATGAAGGGTGCATGCTCATGGAGTGCAAGTGCGGGTTTCATTTTTGCTGGCTATGTCTTCGAGAGTGGGCCAAGTGCGGGTGTAGCCGCAATCATGTAGCGGACGAAGATAATAACAAGAAGGAAGTGAAGAGAAAGGTGGTGAGGGATTATTTGAGGAACTACAACCAGTACTATGAGGGATGGAGAAGGAATGATTTCTCAAGAAAAATTGCGGTGAGGCAAATGAGGGAGGTGATGAATAGCGGATATAAAATGAAACTGGGTATGCTATATGGAAGAGCAGAAGATGAATTTGTGTTCATAGAGGTGGCATGGAAAGCGGTGGTGGAGTGTGAGCGAGTGCTGAAATGGAGCCATCCCTATGGTTACTACCTGCCTCCCAGAGAGGAAGCCAAAAGAGAATATTACGAGTACAACCAACGCCAGGCTGAGACTGTTTTGCGGAAGCTAAAACACTGCGTTGAAATGGAACTGCAGGTGTTCCTCAATGGTAATGAGCCAATTGAAAGATTTGATAGTTTGCGCTTGAAGGTAGTGGAACTTACCCGTATCACCAAGACCTATTTTCAGAACTTTGTGTCTGCACTGGAGAAAGGGCTGGAAGAAGTGCAGGTTAGCAGATATCGTCCTCGGAAAAGAGTGGAGATGATGGAGACGGGGGAGAGCTCAAGCGCAAAGAAAAAGAGAATCAAAACCGATTCTATTTAGTTTTTCTCATATCCATCATTTCCTCATTTTCCATAACTCATTGTTGTTGTAACCATGTTTAAGTACTTCCTTTCTGATTATTACTTAGGATATCAATTCGTACTTATAATATACCGTTAAACCGTAATACTCATCTTATAAGTTTTTCTTGTAAGATCGAGTTAAAGTACATCTTTATTTCTAATATACAACTTATCTTAGCCAAAATTTGTTCGTCAATCATTTTATGGATATCCGATCACCTATTCTTATTCGATTATGTGCCGGAGCATATCCTCATATCGAGAATGATTGATGCCTAAACTTTTCCTTTTCCATTTTTGTTCTAAAACATGGGCTTCTAGCGTTTATCATCAATTTTATTGTTCTAAACTTTCTCTTCTAGTATAGCCTTCAAAACTTTTTAGAAAATAAAATTTAATTTGTAAGAACTCAATTCACGTTTTCTTTTGACACAGGCTATTTGGGCAACATAAAATAATAAAAGCTTCTTGTGCTTGTTAAGATCTTGTGTATCTTTCGCTGGAAAAACTATTCATGGATTCTTAACTTGGTTTTAGTGGATCAATTGTTACATAGAAACAAGATAAACTTTTACGCTAAAAAGTATTGTTCGAACCTTATCAATTATAGCAATATAATAATAACAACACTCCTTTTACAAATATTAATCATTATAATTGAGTTTTTGAGTGAACATATACATTATATCCGAAAGATATCAAAATATAAAAAGAAAAAAGGATTTGTAGAAAAGTTGCATGAGAAAGGTATTGATTCATAATCACAAACAGCCACTACGAGGGGCTTCCACAAAGGGAAAAATTGATTCGAGACATTCGTAAAGTTGCCTGCGATATGTATATATTCACAATTCTTGATCCATCAATCCACCAGAAAGGCCTAAAGTTATCCTACGTATGCTCTGGCATCGTTACAAAAGTGTAATATGGTTGATTTAAGATTGTCTTGTTGTCCAATTTAAGTTGATTAGTCCTTTAAATTTGAATTTTCTTTAACTAAAATTTGCAGTGTTATAATTGATACAGTCGATACATATCCAAAAGATTGAAAAAATAAATTAGATTAGTTGAAAAAAATACGACCTAAATTCAATTTTAGCCTAATTTATTTAATCGATGAATTTATTTTATAAAATAATAATTATTTTTTAAATATAAATATAAATAATATTATTTTATTAATATATATATATATATATATATATATATATATATATTATAAATCAAATTGATAATTGATAAGTAATATCATTTATTTTATGTACTCTCATCTAAAATATATATAAAACATATCTTAGGTGGGCATCTCCATATTTTTAGTCATGTATTCTCTTTTATATATATATATATATATATATATATATATAATATTAAATATTAACAAGATATATATCAATTATAACTATTTAAATTAAAATAATAATTTAATATTTTTCTTTTATGATAAATAATAATAATAAAATTAATATTTAATTTAAATAAAATATATTAAAACAATATTTCCACTTACCAAAACCTATATTTAAGAATAACTAATCAATGACGTAGTAAATAATAACCATGAGCCAATTGAAATTTCCGATAGCATTTTTAGAAATGTCTGCAAAGAAACGCACAAGTTCGGTACTAATCCTGGCTACGATAAAACAATTCATTGCTGGCTAGACATTGAATACAATTGTATAAGAAAAGAATAGGCAAATGAAAAGTAAAACCAACATAAAACACAGCATAAACAAACTTACTGATTATATATCTTTCATGTAAGCAAAGAATGATGAGAGTGCTTTAGAATAATATGTACAGAAAGGAGAGAAAGAGTGCACGAAACTTTCCTTGCGGAACTAATCAAGAATCGATCACTACACATAATTATGATAAACCCTCTTATTTAGAGCAATTCAAAATCAATCAACATTCACACATTCAACAATCTAGCTAGCGTGTGCATGAGCAGGTACATATACACACATATGTGCTGGCGTGCATTGCTGCAATTATCGATCGAGAAAGAGAAAGAAATGGCTGAGGGAGAAGTGCCAATGTTTGATGAGACAACGATAAGAGCTCAAAGAGCAGCGAGCAATGGAAACTGGAGATTGTTCAGGAAAATCTTGGAGAAAGACACGAAGCGTTTGCTGGAGCCTTTTGACTTGTTTGGGAACACTCCCGTTCACATTGCAACACGTTCCAACAATCCACGGTTTCTCCATGAGTTGTTGGAAGTGCTGAGTGTGAAGGAGAGGTGGTATTAGTTAGAAAATCGAGAAAAGCGATCGAAAACGAAGGAAAGAAAAGCGATAAAATATGTGACTAATTGATAAATCGATAAGATAAACGAAAAACCATTCGATGTCTAATTAGAAGTTTGTAGCACTTAACATTGAGAAGCACAATCGAGAATCAAATGAATGATAGCCAAATGCCTATTGTCGAATAAAAAAAAACTAAGAAATTTGAATTATATGATGTTTCGGTTAAAAAGGAATCATAAGCAATTCGAAGTTCTCGAAAGTATAAAATTGAAAGTGAAGAAGGCTAACCTACGTGAATATCGAAACCTTGGCCAAATTGTGAAGGGAAGAACAGTCAAGCGCACATACGGAAAACAGTTTCTAAACCATGGTAGAAGTTGAAGATCGTGAGAACGTGGGTACAGTATTGAAACCATAGAAGATAAACTGCAACACGCACGTAGAACGTGGCAGCAGTTTTGTTAACTGCTCTTGGAAAGTTTGAATGATGCCCTATAAATAGAGCAAAGGAGGAAGGAATAGGGAGCAGAAAATTGGCAGAGAACAGAATCATTAGTGAGAAGTCTACCGGAGAAACGACGAACATCATGAAGCTTCTGGCAATCTGGATTTCCATGCTCATTGAGTACCTTTACTGCTTTTTGTATTATCCTTGGTAATTTACTTTGATGCAATTTATCTTCAGCAATTTTATGTTTCTGTACTTTCGATTTTTTGTCATTTCGATTCAATGAAAGTTAAGTTTCCGCGTTTAAGTTTCCTTGTTATTTACATTTTTGCTGTTTCGATTCCTTGTCTTTTATATTTAAAACAAATTTAGGATCTCCGCACGTTACATTTCTTTGCAATTTTATGTTCAACCCTGCTTTTCGATTCCATTAATTTTCTTTCTTTACTTCGAGTACTCTAGATATAAAACAACAAAAATAGTATCCTTGAAATCGGGTAAAATTCGATCCTCATACGCATCCCGATTGAAAATTAATTTGCTAGCCTAAGTGAAAAAGAACTTACGTGGTAGAATTTTGATTAGAATCAAAATATCTTAAGAGTCAAAATCGATCGAAATTCCACCAGAAACAAATTGGCGCGCCAGGTAGGGCGGTAGTCTTGTGTTGAAAACACATAAAATCGGCTAGTTCGAGAGTGTATGAGATTAAGGAGTGGGAGAGTTATAAGAATGAGTCTAAATTCATCAAATAACCAAAGCAACAGTGAGGGTCTAAATGGTGTACATTCACCAAATACTGGGGGGCAAAGTCAGAATGGGAATATACCTGTAACATCGACAACTGGAAGTATGTCGATACCTGTGGGTAATGAACAAAATTCAGGTACCTTAACAAACACCCAAGTAGGATCTAATGCGGTGGTACCAAATAATATGCAAACTATAGGAAACCCCACAACAACATATGTAGGGCCATATATGAGTGTAAGACCGCCTGAGTTTTCGCTTAATAATATAAGTGGGGCTGGAACTTCTTCAACGCAACGGAATTCGAGATATAACTTAGGAATGCCTCAAACGCTAGGCATGCCTCAAAATTTTGGAGTTCCTCCAAATTTAGGGACATCTCAAAATTTGGTAATCCCCCAGAATTCAGGAAGTGGACAGAATTTAGGCACACAACAAACGCTTCCAAATCTAGACCATAGAGGAAATTTGGAACATGGAAGATATACATTCGATAGAGATTATCATCGATCCAATTTTGAGACTATCGAAAACACTGGTACTGGGATATCCAGTAACTCATTAGGGATACTCAGACAACAAATGGATGAGAGCAATTTTGAGATGGTGAATATGTTATCACAACAGTTGACTACAGTCCTAAATCCATTAGTTCAAAACACTATTGCTAGTTTTGAGATATTAGCAGATCAAATGTCATGAATCAGGGATGCATTGGCTGTACCTCGACGAACAAGGGTAGAAAATCATGCTAACCAGAATGCCAATATCAATCCCCCGTATCTATTAAGGAGAAATCGAAACAATGATCAACATACGAGGAATGAATACCAACAGATGAGAAATGATATTGGTGGGAATCTGAATGAAGAATTTCAAAATATGTACAATCAGAATAACATGCAGTATAACCACATGTTAGGACAGAGGATGAATTTCCAAGGGATGGAATTTAGACCGCCCAATCAAACATACTTTGTGTCTCCCTTTCCAAATGCGATTCTCGAGACGAAATTACCTCGAGGATACAAAGTACCTAAATTCACTAAATTTGCTGGAGAAGTTGGTGAATCAACTATCGAGCATGTAGCTCGATATCAGATCGAATGTGGGGACCTAGCGATGAGCGAGGAATTAAAAATGAAATATTTCCCTAGTTCTTTGACTAAGAATGTTTTTACTTGGTTTACTTCGTTGCCACCTAATTCGATATATAACTGGCTGCAACTGGAAAGAAATTTTCATGAGCAATTCTTTAGAGGAGAGACTCAAGTAAGTCTCATCGACTTAATGAACATAAAAAGATACAATCACGAAAGCATAGATGATTATTTGAATCGATTTAGACAAATGAAGTCGAGATGCTTTACTCAAATTCCTGAATACGAATTAGTCAGAATGGCCTCTGCAGGCTTAGAATTCTCGATTAGGAAAAAATTAGTCAATTTACCATTGAATGACATGACCCAATTAGCTGATAAAGTGAGAAGAGTGGAACAAATTGAGTATGAAAAACAAAGATATAAGAAATTTGAGAAACCTATGAAGAAAGAAAGAATAACATATATAAATGATGTATATGAAACAGATCCCACGACAGAAAATGATGTGGAAGAAACTGTCGATGAAAAAGTAAATATAGCAGAGCTCAAAGTAGGGGCTCCATATATCTGTAAATTGCTACAAAAGAATGAAGTAAAAGATAAAATGACAAATCGAACGTATACTTTCGATGTGACAAAGGCAGATAAAATCTTTGACATTCTACTAAAAGACAAACAAATTAAGTTGAGTGATGACCATAAACTGCCTTCTCCAGAACAAATAAATGGTCGAAAATATTGCAAATTTAATAATATTTATGGACATTGGACTAACAATTGCATACATTTCAGGAATACGATTCAAGATGCGATTGACCAGGGAAGACTGGAATTTGAAGAGATGTCAATGAAAGTAGACACGAGCCCATTCGAAGTTCAAGTGGGGTATATTGAATCCCAAACGGGCATGACTGAAAATGTCCGAGTGATGAATTATGCTTTTATAGGCATGGTCGATGTTACTGAAGACATTGATCCCAAGCATGTCAGAATGGATGTATGTGAAGAAGATATGGAATTCGATTTGAGTGAATTCGAAAAAGAATTCGAAAGGGAGATTTATCCGCGATCAGGAGATTCTCTCATCGAGTTTTTAAACAGAAAACAAGGAAAAGATGAAGATGTGTCGTTATGTCCGCGATGCAGCGCAGTCTTCGATAAGTCAGTTGCTAAGGCTTTCAGAGTAGAACAGATAAAGAAGATCGAAAGTCAGAATGAAAGGAAAAATGACAAAGTAGATCAAACAAGCCAACCAACGATCGGAGAAAGTCAACAGAAATCCGTTGGTTCTGGTGTTAGTGGAAACCAAAGACAGTGAGTTAGAAGAGAGATGTATTCTTCTCGAGGAGGAAGAGGCAAACTCCAGAGTAATGATGTCTTCGAAAGACTGTCATACGATGAAGGATCGAATACTAGATTTCCAACATTTCAAAGGCGATTCCGTGGAAGGCCCTGGAGAAGAGGAGGAAGGATCCCTTACTGGAATAATTACAGAAACTTTGAAGAAAACAATGTATCAATGGGGGGACAATATGCAAGAGATTATTTCGACGATAAGAATGAGGGCAACTGGGATGAACATCAAATCGGAGTGATATCGATACTACCCGCGGAATATGTTAACGAATATCAAGAATACCAAGAGCAGAAGGATACTGATCGAGAAGATGACTTTTATTCAGAAAACATAAGGCCAAAGGTAACATGGGTTACACAGACATCATGCGAAGTCCCTCATAGAGATGCTGCTTTTATTGATCCCCCATCTGAGGAAATGAGGTTCCACCTGAAACCCCTACTGCTGAATATCGAGATTCAAGGACAAATGGTGAATAGAGTCCTTGTCGATGGTGGTGCAGCAGTGAACATATTACCAATCACCATGTTGAAGAGGTTTGGTATTGAACTGAAAGATTTAGTCAAGCACAATATCATGATTTCCGATTTCAGCGGAAAAACATCGAGCTCAGAAGGCATGATTGCTTTAGACGTGAAAGTAGACACTTATTCGAGGCCTACTGTGTTTGTTGTTGTCCAGTCACATGCCAATTTCAATGCACTACTTGGCAGGGAGTGGATTCATGGAGTAGGGGCCGTACCATCTACGGCTCATCAGAAATTATTCATGTGGAATCGAGATGGACATCTCGAAGTAATCCCAGGGGACCAACACGAATTTGTAACATTCGTATCTCAGGCTGGTTGTGCACTGCAGAATCTGGCACTTGCTCAACCATTTACCTTCGAAACTGTCGAAGATTTTAATTCAAAGTTACATGAGGAGCGATTCTTAGAGATGAATGAAAAGAAAGGGTTTGTTATGATCAAAGAGGGGGCCAACCTCGAAGTGGCCGGTGAAAATGAATAGAGATTACGAAGGGTTCTTGGCTCGATTGAGAAAATATGAAGATGAAAAGAAGAGCCAAGAAAGTAGTAGTAGTAAGGTAGGACTAAATAAATCGATTCATTCGACTTCAGTTGCAAATAAAAGCGATCAAGTTATGCTTGATTGTATTTATGATAATTCTCCGTTAGGTTTTGAAAAATCCGTTACATCAAATCACAAAAAAGTCGAGGCACAGGACCCATTAGAAGAAATCAACTTGGGGAGTATCGAGGATCAGAAGCTTACGTATATCAGCAAATATCTTGAAAAAGAAATGAAGGAAGACATGATTTCCTTGTTAAAAGAATATAAG